TGAACGAGGAGTAAAAGAGTTGTCTGCATTAACAAATGACTTCACATGATGCTTGAATCAGTTGTTCACCATTTGAACAGTGCTTTGGACTATGGGTACTGCAATTGTACAGTCTTGTGGTTGGTAGCTGAGGTCCTCAAACACACCCACCTGTTATGATTTGATAGATAAAGTCACACATGATTGTGCCTCATGCTTATTTGTAATGTTACATGTAGGAGGAAGCTCAGGTTCTTTACTTTTGACATTGTTTCTGAGCTTATAATCCCTTCCTCTTTTCAGAAGCTACTGAGGACAAGTTTGATGATACATGCCAGCTTAGCCTACTCAGTCGACATAAGCATCTTCATCTCTGGTTGGCCTGATCAGATATGTTCATGATTTGGAGATGACCAATGAGGGAATCTTCATTTGGATGTAGAACAACATCCTGTTTTGGGGGAGGAAGAGAACTTTTCAAACAATTAATCATTCATGCATGAATCATAATGATCATGAACTTTAGACCTCCACATCCTCCAGCTTACTTTGGTTGGGAAGCAAAAGGCCATTGAAAGACCAAAACCCAACACAAATGTATGAACGAACATCATGCGAGATGAACTTTCAATTGGCTTCTGCAATGAGAGTGTGACTCTGCTCTCTGCACAACTTGTGCAGGACAGGAAGCTGTCTCAGCTCAAAACTATTTGAGCCTTGTTGTGCAGGAGATAGGACTCTTAGGGGTGACACAAGGACTAAGATTGGTAACCAAATCTTAGAAAAAGTAAGAAGAATGGAGACAACAAAAGCAGTTGATGCATAGAGTCTCATCAGAAACCAAAGAACTTTGAGCTTCTTCTTCAGGCTCCAGCAGCACCTGAGATCAGCATGGTGTTTGCCTTGCAGAAGTAAATGAAGTCAGTTCCTCTGTTCACATAACATGTATTTATTCTGTTTATAGCTTCTCTTCTATTGTTTCTTCACTGTCTTTTTCTCCTTTATCTCTGTCCACATAGGTGGACAAAAGGTTAGCTAAAATGTCAGTGGCCAATTCAAGCCATACAAACCTAAAGATAGGAGGGGGCTCAAAATCTTAGACCATCGATGCTGAGACCTTGGAAAAGTTACGGTACCCAAAAGTCTACAAGAGGGATAAATAAAAGCGACGTCTGAGCTATGAATCCTTCCAAAGTTAGGTCACAGTCAGGTAGAAGACAGTACACGTATGTAGCTCTGAGACTTGAGGGTGAGGTGGAGGAGCCATTGGATGTTGAAGGACCGTCTTCTCTAAGATGATGCTGACCGCCTGAAACATGGGACTCGTGGGGTGACACCACCAAGGACGTTTGCTGACATATTTCTATGATCAGTATTGTTCCTTCTCTCTGCTGCGATCACATCGTGAATTGAGTTGTGCAGGGTAATGATGAAGTGATGATATAACGTGATTAATGGCGATGGAAGCCGCTCCACCACTGTGAGAGAGAGAGAGAGAGAGAGAGAGAGAGAGAGAGAGAGAGAGAGAGACGACGAC